TTTGGATCTTTATTCCAATGTGCTTCCCCCTGCCCCCAAAAACCTGAATAGTGGTATTGGGTGCGGAACTCTATAGTACTGTCGCCTCACCAAACTATTAATCTGCAGACTCCTAGGATTGTCTCCCTGCTATCTGAGTCATACAATCCGCATGTTCGGTACGGTGCAGCACTTGCTGTCGGTATTTCTTGTGCGGGTACAGGTCTAAGCGAGGCTATATCATTGCTGGAGCCACTTACGTCCGATGTTGTTGATTTTGTTCGTCAAGGTGCTCTGATTGCAATGGCTATGGTAATGGTCCAGATTAATGAAGCCAGTGATTCTCGTGTCGGCACATTTAGGTACTGTACTATTATGCTTTGTGCATCCCCTTTTTTGTGTTTTTGTTTCTAATCACATTGCGAATAGACCAAAAGATCTCCATCCCCAGCTGCGAAGTCTTCTTGTTAGGCTAATACTTAATTGACTTCCTCCCTCCGTTTTTTGAGATAATATTCTGTGTTTGTTTTCTGTTTTTTTATAAAGCTAATTTTCATGGGTCACTTGCCTTATAGGCGGCAGTTAGAAAAGATAATTCTTGATAAGCATGAAGACACAATGAGCAAGATGGGAGCAATTTTGGCTTCTGGAATCCTTGATGCCGGTGGAAGGAATGTGACAATAAGATTGCTTTCTAAGACAAAGCATGATAAAGTCACGGCAGTTGTTGGTCTTGCTGTTTTCAGCCAATTTTGGTACTGGTATCCCCTCATTTATTTCATAAGCTTGTCTTTCTCCCCCACAGCTTTTATTGGTTTGAACTATGACTTGAAAGTCCCGAGGTTTGAATTCTTATCACATGCAAAACCGTCGCTGTTTGAGTATCCAAAACCAACTACCGTCCCCACCACTACATCAGCCGTGAAACTTCCTACAGCTGTTCTGTCAACATCAGCAAAGGCCAAAGCAAGGGCTAAGAAAGAGGCAGAGCAGAAGGCTATTGCGGAAAAGGCAGCTGTTGCAGAGACTTCATATCCTAGTGCAACTGGAAAAGGAAAATCATCTAGTGAAAAGGATGGTGACTCTATGCAGGTACATTAGTTCATCTTGATTCTTTCTGTCTGTGCTTATATCAGGTTTTGTATTTTCTTTTATCAAATGAAGGTCAGCCAGAAAAAATATATTATCCTATGTATTCTGCTGATCTCTGTAGAGTTGTTAAAATCTGGTGACAATGCAGCAGAAAATGGGTTTTTGCTATATGTTCTAATATTTAAAATGACCAAATTTTATGTGGCTGGCAGGTTGATGGCCTACCTGAGAAGAAGGCAGAGCCAGAGCCTTCTTTTGAATTTTTGACAAACCCGGCTAGGGTGGTGCCTTCACAGGAGAAATTCATTAAATTTCTAGAAGACACCAGATACATGCCGGTGAAGTTAGCACCTTCTGGATTTGTTCTCCTGAGGGACTTGCGTCCTGCTGAGCCTGAGGTTCTTTCTCTGACTGACACACCTACATCCACTGCATCACCTGCTGGTGGATCAGCGACAGGACAGCAGGGCTCTGGCTCAGCCATGGCTGTTGATGAAGAACCTCAACCTCCTCAGCCTTTCGAGTATGCAGCTTGATTGTCAGTAGGTATTACATGTGGTTTATTAATGTCGGAGAAATTCTTGTGCTCAATGGAGAACAAACTGGTGTGGTAGCACCCTACTAATGCCTCGGCTAATGCTGAAACGATCTGTATTGGCACGTCAAAGTGCGGTGCGGTTCTACTCCCTGGGGTGGCTGGTCACTAGTGGTTATCGCCAAATTGTTTTAGCTTGTACTTTGTATTTTTTCACACTTGATGTTGAGGATGGGGAAGTTTGAATGTGCCACTGATCTGCATGCAGGATTTAGTTAAGATGTAACGAGATACATTTCTGGCACAGGAACCCTCCCTCCGGAGGGTACCTTTCTAGGTTAGTAGCAGTAATTTTTTTTTTTTTTTTTAAATTTCTTTTTACCTCGGGTTTAAAAAAAATACAGGGACGGAAGCAGCCCTTGATTTGTCACTGTTTTTGGACTGAAATGCTTCCTGTCTCGAATGAAATTATGTTTCAAAGTCATGAAATTTGTCACTGTTTTTTTTTTTTTTTTTGTTGTTACAAAAAAATTCTGTTCCAGGAAGAGATAGATGAAGGCTCAGAAAAATTATTGTTTGTATTAGCAAATAGATTTGATTAAATTGTAGTAATGGCATGATCATCTTTTACACTTACAATATTATATTTACATCAAATGTATAAAACGTTTTAAATTAAATATAAAATATGGGTAGGTCGAGGTTTGTATCGTTCCAAAAACCCTTTTTATTTTTTCTGAAGTACAATCTATGTGCTTAATACCTGATAAATGTGTGTATATTAATTCTGTATTGTATAATATAATATAATATAATATAAAATATATATTAATCTTGTACTATCAAAGATTTGAAATTTAAGTATATTTTGTTCCATAAAAAGTCAACGCTTTAACTCCTCTGAAGTACATCAAAAAAAAAAAAAAAAAAAAAAACAATTATTAAATCACCATATTTTATTATTTCAAACTGTTCATACACCTTCAAGTCTCTCAGTTCTCACCTCATTCCCTCTATAAAAGTAGAGACGTACACCGATACATGTATATTTTCACGTCATACATACATACATACATATATAATATATATATATATACAGGTGAATATTATTATTATTATTATTATATATGTTTTTCATCCCATTTGTGTGTTAACTTGAAAGATTTGGTTTCGCCATCAAACAAATAAAATCCATCATCTCTTGATTCCCAATTGCACCAGTAATCTCTGCACTGTAGATAAACGAACTTGGCTTCAGCATCAAACACATTGAAAACGGCATGGTGACGGTAATTGTCGTACCAGAAGTTGCACCAGAAGAGCGTTGTCGTGACGTAGTTAATGCGGAAGCCGAACTGGTAGCTCCGGCCGCCGGCGAGCGAGTGCGGATGAAGATCGTCGTCGGCGGATTTACAGTGCACGTCTAATACTTTGTTGTTGGCGAGTTGATTGGTGATGTTCACATGGTACTTCTTAAATGGTTGAGGTAGCCATGGCCATGATTTCACAACAAACACCATGTTTCCCATCATCATCACCCACACCACCATTATCATCTGTTTAAACCTAGTACTGTTTCTGTTGTTCTTCTTCATTTTCAGATGTTCGATATTACTGGTCACATATATATATATATATATGTGTGTATGTATCTCTTTTTTTTTTTTTTTTTTTTATAGTCAAACTTAAAGGTATCTATACATATATATATATATATCGGTGGTTACTCATATGGCAGCGGGAAATCTGTAACTCCTGAGATCTTTGTATTTTTATGAATTTAATGGTTTTATTTAAAATTGAATTTAATTCAAATTTCATTTCCGCAGAATAAAAACAAAAATATAATTAAAATATGGCAGAAATTTAAATTAAAATAGTTGTCTAATTTTTTAAAGTAAATTTTATTTTGATTTCAATTAAAATATTTTTGTGATTCATTCTTGGACAGGTTAAAGAACAAAATTCATTACTATAAAATTTAGAATTATAAGAAAGTTAATTTAATTATGCATCAAATGATTATTTTCTATACATATATACATCAAATAATTATTATTATTTTAAATAAAAGTATATCAAATTATATAATCATCAAATATAGAAATTAAAATTTTAAATTATTAAATTATCATCTCACAATATTTACATTATACAGCTGAAATATCCTCTAAGCTTTGATATACTGCCAAAGAGCTCACTGGCTAAGGTGAGCAAAATTGGACTGGCATAATAAATATATAAATAATAATAATAATAATATTTTTAATATAAGAATTTAATGCTAAAATGAAAATTAAATGCTTGCTTGATTAGTGTGATTATAATTTAATTAAGGAAAATTTATTTATCAACTTTAATATTTATTACAGTAACTATAGAGATTAAGTCTTTAATATCAGACTTGTCGTTGGATATTAAGAGGTTTTTTTTTTTTGTCAAATAGTTTATTGGGATAATTTCATTAATTAGATCCCTTATTTTTGGTGAAGATTCTTAGGGTTCTTCTTTAGCAACTTCTTTCAATATAATTTTAGAGGTAATATGATGTTCAAACCATTCTCAGTATATAAAATCTATAGAGATACCTCTTTCTTATTTATTATAAAGTAACATATTAAAATTAGAGTAAAGTAAAAAAGTATATAGTAAATAACTATTGATAAATATTTTTGTGAGGTTGACCAAGTGAAATTACTTCCTTACATTTGTTTTATTCTGTATGCCCAAATTTCAATACTTGTTTGATTATAAAATTAAAAATTTTGGAGTCCCCGTACATTTTATTAAAAATAAGATAAGACGTTATAAAATAAAATTAACTATTTTTTACGGTTTTAGAAATTCCAAGTTCTGAAAAGTTTAAAGGGTGGAAAAAATGTTACGAACCCTTTCTTCAAATTATCTTAATAAGTTATGATTAACATACTTTCGGGCATGATCGATATTATAACTATTATTGTCATTTTTATTTATTACTTCATTATTACTTTTACCGACTCTGTTGACGGGTGTAACTATGATTCATTAGTTCATAATTTGTTATTTATATAAAATTACAAATTGAAAGGCAGCGAGAGATTAAAACCTACCAAACTTGAAAATTGATGTAATTCAAAAGATCTTGCCTCCATTTTGTTCTTCCTTCATTTATTTTTTCTGATTTCGTTAGAAGTATGATTATTAACCCCAAATTTGTCACACCCATATTCACATGCATTATTATTATTACTAGATTCATCTCCTGTCCTTCACTACAGCTTTAAGCTAATGTATAAACACCCATACTCTAAATAAGATGAAAATCAACAGCACTCAAATATCCTCCAGATTTAAGCAAGACATCATTCACTCCAAATTCAAACAACAATCATCTGACTTACACGTAAAGAACAAAAAGAAAAATCATGAATCTTTACCTTCTCTGGTGTTTATCTCCCCCTTTCATTAACTGTAACACCCAAAATAAATTTTTATTTTATTTTATTTTTTTTTGATTTAATTTAATTTAAATTAATTTTTGTGAATATAAAAATATTAATAATGATAAAATTGGGTAAAAATATTATTTGGATTTAATTGAAATTGATTTTGGAAAAAAAAGGTGAAAATTTAGATTTTGGGAGTATTTTTGAAAAGAAATTCAGAAATCAAGGGTCAAACCGCAATTTAAAAAAATTGTACCCCGTCAGCGCCACGTCAGCAGCCACGTCAGCGGCCCAGTCAGCAGCCCTGGCCAACCAGGACCTGTTGCGTGGCAAGGCCACGCCGACCTGGGAACGGACCACGTGGGCGATCCGCGTGCGCGCAATCGGACGGTCCAGATGCGTCCCCGCGCGCACGACGGCCCAGATGCACGCGCATGGTTCAATCAAGTACGGACGGCCCAGATTTAATCCAAATTAAATCGCGATCGAACGACCCAGATGCACGCGCACGGACGACCCAAATGCACGCGCACGGACGGCCCAGATTCAATCAAGTACGGACGGTCCAGATTTAATCTAAATTAAATCGCGATCG